TGATGTAAGTATGTACTGCTGTAGATCCTGATATAAGTGTGTGTGCTGCTGCAGCTATTGATATAAGTATGTACTGCTGCACATCTTGATATAAGTGTGTGCTGCTGCTGCAGCTATTGATTTAAGTGTGTGCTGCTGCAGCTAATGATGTTAGTGGGTGTGCTGCTGCAGCTCTTGATATACAGTAAGTGTGTGTGATGCTGCAGCTAATGATGTAAGTGTGTACTGCTGCAGCTCTTGACATAAGTGTGTGTGCGTCTGCTATTGATGTAAGTGTATGTGCTGCTGCAGCTCTTGATATAAGTGTGTGTGCCGCTGCAGCTATTGATGTAAGTATGTACTGATTCAAGTCTTGATATAAGTGTGAGTGCTCCTGTTATTGATGTAAGTGTATGTGCTACTGCAGCTCTTCATATAAGTATGGGTGCTGCTGCAGCTCTTGATATAAGTGTGTGTGTGCTGCTGCAGGTATTGACGTAAGTGTGTGTGGTGCTGCAGCTATTGATGTAAGTGTGTGTGCTGCTGCAGCTCTTGATATAAGTGTGTGTGCTGCTGCAGCTATTGATATAAGTGTGTGTGCTGCTGCAGCTATTCATGTAAGTGTGTGTGTGCTGCTGTAGCTTTTGATGTAAGTGTGTACTGCTGAAGCTATTGATGTAAGTGTGTACTGCTGCAGATCTTGATATAAGTGTGTGTGCTGTTGCAGCTCTTGATGTATGTGTGTGCGGCTGCAGCTATTGATGTAAGTATGTACTGCTGTAGATCTTGATATAAGTGGGTGGTGCTGCAGCTCTTGATGTAAGTGTGTGTGCTACTGCCGCTCTTGATATATGTGTGTGCTGCTGCAGCTATTGATGTAAGTGTGTGTGGTGCTGCAGCTCTTGATATAAGCGTTTGCTGCTGCACCTATATATGTAACTGTGTGCTGCTGCAGCTATTGATGTATTGTAAGTGTGTGTGCTGCTGCAGCTTTTGATGAAAGTGAGTGCTGCTGCAGCTATTGATATAAGTGTGTGTTGCTGCAACTCTTGATATAGGTCTGTGCTGCTGCATCTATTGATGTAAGTGTGTGCTGCCTCAGCTATTGATGTAAGTCTATGTGCTGCTGCACCTTTTGATGTAATTGTGTGCTGCTGCAGATCTTGATATAAGTCTGTGCTGCTGCAGCTATTGATGTAAGTGTGTACTGCTGCAGCTCTTGATATAAGTGTGTGTGCTGCTGCAGCTCTTTATATAAGTGTGTGGTGCTGCAGCTATTGATGTAAGTGTGTGTGCTGCTGCAGCTATTGATGTAAGTGTGTACAGCAGCAGCTCTTGATATAAGTGTGTTTGCTGCTGCAGCTCTTGATATAAGTGTGTATTGCTGCTGCAGCTACAGATGTAAGTGTGTGTGCTACTGCTGCTATTGATGTAAGTGTGTGTGCTGCTGCAGCTATTGAAGTAAGTGTGTGTGCTGCTGCAGCTATTGATGTAAGTGTGTTCTGCTGCAGCTCTTGATATAAGTGCGTTTACTGCTGCAGCTATTGATGTAAGTGTGTGTGTTGCTGCAGCTCTTGATATAAGTGTGTGCTGCTGCAGCTATTGATGTAAGTGTGTGTGTGCTGCAGCTATTGATGTAAGTGTATTCTGCTTCAGGTCTTGATATAAGTGTGTGTGCTGCTGCAGCTCTTGAAATAAGTGTGTACTGCTGCAGCTATTGATATAAGTATGTACTGCTTCAGATCTTGATGTAAGTGTGTGTACTGCTGCAGCTCTTGATATATGTGTGTGTGCTGCTGCAACTATTGGTGTAAGTGTGTACTGCTACAGCTCTTGATATAAGTGTGTGTACTCCTGCAGCTGTTGATGTAAGGGTGTGTGCTGCTGCAGCTCTTGATATAAGTGTGTGCTGCTGTTGTATAATATGGACACGAAGTAGTACCTTAAGCTGTGCATTATTATATTACTGTATTAATTATGTATAGTAAAGTATTACAGAACATGCATTAATTCTATGTAATATTTCCATATGTTATGCACCATGTTATGTATATGAATTATCATATTTACATTTTATGTATTCAGCTTGTGAATGCTGGCATCTGTACATACCAGCGCGCAGTGATACATAGAGTGGATACCACCAGTCCTTTAAGTGTGAAAGTGCTCTGTCTCAGTAGTCCATCTGTATATATCTCCCGTACGAGAATAAGAACCTATTTTTAAGATAACAAATGTTTGTGTATACCCTCAGTAGTGTAGAACATTTTGGGGGTACCAGAGACAAACATAGAGCTGCAGCAATTAATGTAAGTGTGTGTGCTGCTGCATCTTTTGATATAAGTGTGTGTGATGCTCAGCTATTGATGTAAGTGTGTACTGCTGCAGCTCTTGATATAAGTGTGAGTGCTGCTGCAGCTATTGATGTAAGTGTTTGTGCTGCTGCAGCTTTTGATGTAAGTGTGTGTGCTGCTGCAGCTATTGATGTAAGTGTGTACTGCTGCAGCTCTTGATATAAGTGTGTGTGTTGTTGCAGCTATTGATGTAAGTGTGTACTGCTGCAGCTCTTGATATAAATGTGTGTGCTGCTGTAGGTATTGATGTAAGTGTGTACTGCTGCAGCTTTTGATATAAGTGTGTGTGCTGGTGCAGCTCTTGATATAAGTGTGTGTGCTGCTGCAGCTCTTGATATAAGTGTGTGTGCTGCTGCAGCAGCTGCATGTAAGTGTGTACTGCTACAGCTCTTGATATAAGTTTGTGTACTGCTGCAGCTGTTGATGTAAGTGTGTGTGCTGCTGCAGCTCTTGATATAAGTGTGTGCTGCTGCAGCTATTAATGTAAGTGTATGTGCTGCTGCAGCTTTTGATATAAGTGTGTGCTTCTACAGCTATTGATGTAAGTGTGTGCTGCTGCAGCTATTGATGTAAGTGTGTTCTGCTGCAGCTATTGTTGTAAGTGTGTGTGCTGCTGCAGCTGTTGATATAAGTGTGTGCTGCTGCGTACGTGTGTGCTGCTGCAGCTATTGATGTACTGTGATATATGTGTGCTGCTGCAGTGGTGTGTAGCAGTTATTAATGTGTGTTGCTGCTGCAGCTGATGGTGTGTTCTGCTGCAGCTATTGATGTGTGTGTTGCTGCAGCTAAGTCCGTACTGCTGCAGCTCTTGATATAAGATGTGTGTACTGCTGCAGTTGATATAAGTGATGTGTACTGCTGCAGACGTATTGATGTGTGTGCTGTGAGCTGCTGTAGCTATTGATGTAAGTGTGTACTGCTGCAGCTCTTGATATATGTGTGTGTGCTGCTGCAGCTATTGGTGTAAGTGTGTACTGCTGCAGTTATTAATGTAAGTGTGTGTGCTGCTGCAGCTATTGATGTAAGTGTGTTCTGCTGCAGCTATTGATGTAAGTGTGTGTATTGCTGCAGCTGTTGATGTAAGTCTGTACTGCTGCAGCTCTTGATATATGTGTGTACTGCTGCAGCTTTTGATGTAAGTGTGTACTGCTGCTGCTATTGATGTAAGTGTGTGTGCTGCTGCAGCTATTGATGTAAGTGTGTGTGCTGCTGCAGCTATTGATGTAAGTGTGTGCTGCTGCAGCTATTGATATAAGTGTGTTTGCTGTTGCAGCTATTGATGTAAGTGCGTACTGCTGCAGCTCTTGACATAAGTGTGTACTGCTGCAGCTATTGATGTAAGTCTGTACTGCTGCAGCTCTTGATATAAGTGTGTGCTGCTGTAGCTATTGATGTAAGTGTGTACTGCTGCAGCTCTTGATATAAGTGTGTGTGCTGCTGCAGCTAATGATGTATGTCTGTGCTGCTGCAGCTAATGATGTATGTCTGTACTGCTGCAGCTGTTGATATAAGTATGTACTGCCACAGATCTTGATATAAGTGTGTGCTGCTGCAGCTATTGATGTCAGTGTGTACTGCTGCAACTCTTGATATAAGTGTGTGTGCTTCTGCAGCTATTGATGTAAGTGTGTGCTGCTGCTGCTATTGATGTAAGTGTGTGTGCTGCTGCAGCTATTGATGTAAGTGTGTGTGCTGCTGCAGCTATTGATGTAAGTGTGTGCTGCTGCAGCTATTGATGTAAGTGTGTGTGCTGCTGCAGCTATTGATGTAAGTGTGTGTGCTGCTGCTGTTATTGATGTAAGTGTTTGCTGCTGCTGCTATTGATGTAAGTGTGTGTGCTGCTGCATCTATTGATGTAACACATTTTTTTCAGTCATTACTGGAGAGCGTGTAGTGAACGGCGTTATTGTTGAAGAGTGACCAATACGTACAGTATATATATTAGGTGTGCACTGTACACAAAAATAGGAAAATTTCTTGTATAATAGGAAGTTAGTGAATACACTGTATTTAAGGAGCTGTAAGTTGGAGATGGATGGGGTGGCGTAAGAGAGCAGGGAAGGCACTAACATGAAGAGAACAATTTCCTGGCACGACGGGAACGGGGATGACATAGAAGTGAAGACAATGTTGCTCATAAAACAATACCTTTAGATTATAATTTTTCTTTACTGTATCATAATAAATAACGACTGTGGTCAACAACTCAACACATGGGAGAGGCGTTGCTTCTGAGAGCGGACTTAGCTCTCATACAGGGGAAGAGTTTGTATGTTGTTATGTTGACCAAAAGAGATGTTTTATGTTTATTATAACGCGTAAGATATTGAAATTGTTGGCCGTAATAATGAGGGAACTCCTGAAGAAACTGAGAACAGTGAGTTACGTACAACTTCAACCATTAACTAGAGGCTTCACTGTGCTGAGTTTCAGGGAAGTAACACAAGTAGCACAGTTATGTTTTAGGGGTATAACAGAAGTGCCACTGTGTTGTGTTTTATGGAAATATCAATGTGTTGTATTTCAGAGACGTAGCACAAATAATACTGTGTAATGATTCAGGGAAGTAACACATGGAACATTGTGTTCTCTTTCATGGAAATAACAAAATTAATACTGTGTTACATTTCAGATGAATAACACAAGTAACACTGTGTTGTGTTTCAGGGACCTAACACCAGGAGTGAGCGACCGTAATGTGTTCCTGGTTGATGTTTCCTGCAACTACCGACCACTGTATCGTTCCCTGTGCTCCGTGGAGAGGTGAGAGAGAGAGAGAGAGAGAGAGAGAGAGAGAGAGAGAGAGAGAGAGAGAGAGAGTACCATCTTGTAACGTACTTGGTTTGTGGAGATTAAATGCCTAGTAATCAACGTAGCACTTTCTACTGGGAACCGGAGCCTCCTGAAGAACAATTATGTCCAGCATGATTGTTAATGACGTTTATATTCACCTTTACAAACATATCTGGCATTTACGTCACCCGCTGTCACTCTACGTTTCATATACTGTATATACAGAAAGAACAAATAATGAAATTTATCTTAAAAAAAGTGTGAAGAACGATCTGTAAGCCTAAACCTAAAGTAGGAATTAACATAACATCCAAACTTAATGACTGAGTGATAGTACAGGTAACTAACTCTATTAGTCGGGGTCATTTCCACTCACACACTGAGGTGAGGGAGTTATGAACTTAACAAAATTTATAGGTGCTTATTATACTGTCCGATTCTGGGGTCACTAATTCTAAGGGGATAACTTAACTGTACTCCTAATTTTAAGGTCGCTGCCACCAGGCCCCCCTGGACAAAATGTAGCTCGTTTGGTAGCGGGTAGAGTAGGCTAGGCATTGGGTTGGGTTTTTCATAGACCAAATCGAGAGTGGGAAGAAGGGTGAAACATCGGGCATGACTTAACTAATTTATTCCTTATAAAACATATTGCATCCAGTCACAATACAAAAAGAGTTGGCCTTCATCAGAAGAACAACTATTATTTTCTTTACACTTCACATCAATATACGTCTTACATAAAATAATTACTACTATCATCTTCATTCTTCATAGCAACCAATGATCTCCTTACCTCGGTCATTCTTTCTTACCATAACACCCAACACATCAGACTGCACCACATGTTATTGCACCACATCTCCTATACACTCCACACGTACCAGTATGGAACTCCTTGGTATGCTTAGGTACACATACCAGGTACCTCGTGCACACTCTACTCTTGCTGAGTAGATGGGATACTTCCCAAGTAATCATACCAGTACTGGTTCCACGCCTGGTATTATTAGGTCGCTCCACGTAGTGACCGCGAAATTTCTCAAACATACAATTATTTTCTCTTATCCTGGGTGGTGATATGTAGGGTATCCACAGATTCACAGTGGAGGTGCATCATGGCCATAAGCAGACACACCACACATGGCGAGTCCCTTATAGTGTGGTAATGGCCGACGCTGGACGCGTGCGTACCTGTCTTGGTGAGAGAGCTGGTACCACTAAGGAAGAGGCCCCGCGTCTCTCACTGAACTAGGCCTACAGTTTCCAATCTTTAATTATTCGGGTCCTCACATGAACACTTTCCTATCTATTGTGACCTTATGCCTTATAATTTTATATCTTAATCCTAAATTACATATTACTGTAAGGATCTGGTTTGCCAGTTCCTGGGGAAATTAATTGGGCTATATCATTAACTCAAAACTGTAGCCCGGGGCAGAATGGGAGCCAACCCGAACAAAGCCTAGCGTCGTATTTTCGTGGCGTGGGTATATCCACTTTACTTCAATCTGTATTTAGGGATCCTCCCCTCACACTTTGCAATCGTTGAACACATTCACAAGATTCTCTGATCATCTCACTGTTCGTGGTTATTCGTCACATGAGATAACGAGGTGTATTAAGCTCACACCGAGGCATACAAGATATTTTCTTTGAAGTATAGTTTCTGGATCACTTCCAACACCTCACATAGGCCTGATACATTTATCCTTTTTTTAGATCATTGTTCTCTTATATTTTCATCTGATACCTGCGGTAGCTATGTTCACTAATCGTTCACAGACGTAAATAGTATGACCTTCAAACACGATCTACACTTATCACTAGTCCGTATCAATTGGACCTTTCCAATCATCCTATAGTTACCTTGAGTTCTCCTTAATGCTATAAGTACATACACTTAATATTATATGACTGTACCTTGGTATAATTCATATAAAACAACATACATTAAGTGAGTTATCCTTTACCAACGTTTCCCGTTTTCTGTGACTATACAAGCGCGGTGGATTTGACTGTTATGTAGCGTAAAATGAATAGAAGAGATATTAAGGATTACAATGATGTGCGCAGTACATTATACGTGCTGCTATTTGCTTTGGTGTGCTCTTCTGTGGTGTATAAATTAATTTTCCCTTTTTTTGTTTTGTAGCTATCACCTCTAAAATCATCTCTACGTCGTTCCTAATATCTTTATATTTCTTTAACTTAGTACCATAATATATGTTATTTTTTGTCCAGGCTACATTTTTTTCTTCAGTTTTTTTACCATGACTTAACTTATTTTATGAGACTGTAAGAAGACTGAAGGAAATGCCGGTGAGTTTAGGCGGAGGTCGACTCAGTGCAAACCTTGACTGCTAAGGACCAAGTTGAACTATTTAAGTCGCTTGTCAATCTATCGTTTGTGGTAATACGGGAGGTCGGCCGGTATAGAAACACGTATAAGAGTAGAAATGAGTTGTCCATAAGGGCTGATCTCGTCTCACCATATAGCTTGTGTATTACTCTGGTGTCACCACGACTAACCCAGAGAGGATCAATTGACGGTCATTTTACAAAGGTTTCATTATTATACCTGTAGGTTATGTATCTAAGCTACTGTGCCGAGTAGCAACCTTGTATATAAGCTACTGTGCCGAGTAGCAACCTTGTATATAAGCTACTGTGCCGCGTAGCAACCTTGTATATAAGCTACTGTGCCGAGTAGCATTTATATATGTAATTACGTGGCAACACTGCACGTGTTATGTGGCAAAATTGCCCCGAGGCTGCCGTATGGCAAGGCAGCCTCAGTCTGCCTCCGTGGGTCGTGCATGGCACATGCTAGTCACTACTTGTATTTCTCCTATCCGTTAATAAATGGACTTCAGTGTTACCCGGTGTTTACCTACCCATCACTGCCTTCTTCAGGGAACACTTGGAACCTTCATGGCGCACACCCACACCTTTTGCAGCAATACGGAGTGTGGACCCGAAGGTACGGTACTTTTCGACAATGGACGCCCTCTGTGGTTACTAGCAGATCCCACTGAAGAAGGAGGATCAGCCACTGACCACTTTCATCACGCCTTACGGACGCTTCCGCTACTGCCGTGGCCCTATGGGATTCGCTGCTACGGGGGACGCCTTCTGTCTCTGTGGTGACATGGCACTTCAAGGCGTGACCAACTGAGTGAAGGTAGTGGATGACATCCTCCTCTACGATGAGGACTACCTGACGCATCTTCGCCGCATCGACGAGGTACTGACCAGGTGTAGGACGCACGGCATCACTCTGAATGCCGAGAAGTTCGTCTTGGCCGCACCTGCCGTGTCTTTCTGCGGCTATCGACTCTCAAGGGATGGCATTGCTGCGGACCCGGAGAAAGTTTGCGCCATAGCGGACTTTGCCAAACCTGCCAACCTTACGGATCTCAGGTCTTTCATGGACCTGGTGAACCAGCTGGCAGAATTTTCTCCTGACGTCTCCGCCACTGCCGGGCCTCTCCGCCCCCTGATGAGCCCCAAGAGGACTTTCACGTGGACCCCTGACCACGACCTCGCCTTTCATAAGGTGAAGGAGGCCCTGTCAAGTCCACCTATCCTCGCTACTTTCGACACAGCGCTCCCCACCGTCCTCCAGACAGACGTGTCGCGCCTGTACGGGGTTGGTTACGCCCTTCTCCAGGATCACGGTGGAGTAAAGTACCGGCTCGTACAGTGTGGCTCTCGCTTCCTCACCGATGCTGAGTCTCGCTACGCTACCATCGAGCTGGAGCTGCTGGCAGTGGTATGGGCCTTATCGAAGTGCAAGTTCTACTTGATTGGCCTACAGCACTTCGACCTCATCACAGACCACAGGCCCTTGGTCCCCTTTCTTAACCACTATTCGCTGGACGCTATCGAGAATCCCCGCCTCTAGCACCTGAAGAAGAAGATTTTGGCCTTCGTCTTCACCGCAGCTTGGCCTGCAGGTAAGGAGTTGTGCATCCCGGATGCCCTCTCCCGCTCCCCAGTCAGTCGCCCGACACCTGAAGAAGAGATGCTCAGCACCGAGGCCGGTTTCTCCGTCAGCAACATCGACACTTTGCAGGCCGTACAGTCCCTCGCCAGCACCCAGGCCTCAGTGTCGCCACCTGACAGCGATCTGGCCCTTGAGGAACTACGGACCGCGGCACGCGACGACCTCTCCTACACTCAGCTCTTGGAGAGTGTGAGGACTGGGTTCCCCCGCGACCGTTTTGACCTCCACAACTCCCTACGCACGTATTGGATGATACGTGAGGACCTCTACGCAGATGGGGAACTCGTCCTGTACGGTGCCCGTGTGGTCGTCCCTGCAGCTCTCCGTCGTCGCGTTCTGGCCCGCTTACACGACAGCCATCGTGGAGCAGAGGCCACCAAGCGCCGCGCAAGGCAGGCTGTGTACTGGACCGGCATTGACGCGGATATCGTCAATACGGTCCGTGTCTATGAGCCGTGCCAGATCATGCAGCCCAGTCAACAGGAGGAGCCCCTCTTGTGCGACGACAAACCCACCAGGCCCTTCGAGTCCGTGTCAGCTGATTTCTTCAGCACAGCTGGGAAACATTTCCTAGTTGTCGCCGACCGACTCTCTGGCTGGCCTGTGGTGGTAATCTGTGGCTCGTACACGACGTCCGCGGTCACCAATCGCCACTTCCGGCACCTCTTTCGTGACCTGGGCTTCCCCGTACGTCTGCGGACGGACGGTGGGCCACAGTTTACCAGCCGGGACTTCACAGGATGCCTGGAGCGTTGGGGAGTCCGCCACATCGTGTCAACACCCCACTACCCACAGTCAAACGGCCGCGCTGAGGCTGCGGTCAAGACAGTCAAGCACCTCATCCTCAAGGTGGCCCCTACAGGCAACATAGACTGTGAGGCGTTTGACAAAGGACTCCTGGAGTTACGTAATACTCCCACCCACACAGGACGCTCCCCTGCCCAGGTCCTGTATGGTCACCCTCTCCGCTCTTGCGTTCCTGCACACGCCAAGGCCTTTGTGAAGGAGTGGTAGACCAGAGCCGAGAGCTGTGACCGCCGCGCCGCTTCACGTGCCAAGGACGCCAAGGCTCGGTATGACGACCGTGCCCGCCCTCTTCAGCCGCTGGAGATTGGTGCCCTTGTCCGCGTCCAGGACCCAACGACGACACGTTGGGACAAGGTGGGCATATTGATGGGCGTCGGCCGGTCGCGGGACACAAGGTCAGGATGCCAAGCGGCCGCTTCTGGTGGAGGAACCGCCGCTTCCTCCGGCCAGTCCCACCCCCAGCTGCTGGTCCCCTGACCGAGGACGAGTCTCCTACACCTCCCGAGAATCCGCCCCACAGTGCACCTCGACGCTCGGAGCGACTTAGGACTAAGAAGTCCGCTCAAGACAAAGACTATGAGCGTGAGGGGGGGAGGGAGATGTAGATTATGTATCTAAGCTACTGTGCCGAGTAGCAACCTTGTATATAAGTTACTGTGCCGAGTAGCATTTATATATGTAATTACGTGGCAACACTGCACGTGATATGTGGCAACATTGCCCTGAGGCTGCCATATGGCAAGGCAGCCTCAGTCTGACTCAGTGGGTCGTGCAAGTCACACTCTAGTCACTACTTGTATATCTCCTATCCGTTAATAAATGGACTTCAGTGTTACCCGGTGTTTCCCTACCCATCACTGCCTTCTTCAGGGAACACTTGGAACCTTCAATACCTTATCTTATTTATTTTCATGTTCTATTAGTTTTAAGGAACACAGTAAAGATAACACAAGCAAATTGTCCTGCAGTTGTCCTGAAATAGATTTACCCGTAGATAATTATTCACTAAGAGAGTCATCATAAACGTTCACATAAATTTATCATGTATATAGACAATGCAATCATAGATAGGAATTACATATACAAACAGTAGTAAACAGTCAATTGATTCAGTTTAGGATAATAACCTAACTTATCATCATTTGCTTATTACCAATAGGATCCTTTCCTTGAGCTGGGCAACTATAGTACAATACTTAGTAACAATAGAGCTACAAATTACAGATTACTAAAAATGAAAACTACCAACTTGTTCACATCATCAGCTGGGCACGTCAAAACCCAAGTCTTGTGGTGTGGTTCATTATGACGACGATGATCGTTGACGATGGGGACGGCTTAATTCGTCACCTCCTGCATCACTACCCCAACCTGAACCTCGCGGGAGCTGATCTCACCGACGTGTTTCAGAGAACGCCTCTGGAGAAATTCTTTAACGGGAAAACGTGGACGAAAGATGAAAGTGAGTTTAAAGATATGGCTTTTACTGTAGTCTTTCTGTAATAACATTATCAATAAAGATAAAAAACTACTTTACTTTCTAGCAGAATAACATCCATAAAAGTGCTTAATATACGGTGGGTACATACTATACTGTATATACAACAACTGAAAGTAAATAATAATCATAAAAACGACATGCATGTGTTCTGTGATGATAGAGTAGAATCATTGTATTTTGTCTTGGTATTCAGAAAGCCAGTGATATAGTTGGGTTAAAAAGAGGTGTGGTCTGAAGTAAGAAGTAAATACATTAAGTAAAAGAGACGAGGCGAAGTAATCATTGTTTAGTTGGATGATTGGACAACGGGTTAGAAGTGACCCTTCTCAAACCAGGAGAAATTAACGGGAAAACTATCAGATCACTGTTTTTTTTTTAACAAGTCAAATCTTTACAGGTTAGCTAGAGTTGTTTATTTTTCAAATTGGAGACGATGTGATCACAAAGTTAATCTGTACAGAAGTTTCTGACAGATGATGACTCTGTGAGTTCAGTGTTATTATAACTTAAATGAGAGCAACTGACAAATGAAGGAGTGAGCCCAAAGACTTTTTCGGGAAGTTTGTCTAATGGATTGATTGAAATTTTGTTTCAAAAAGTAAATCTACAGTAATGCAGATCTCTCTCTCTCTCTCTCTCTCTCTCTCTCTCTCTCTCTCTCTCTCTCTCTCACACACACACAGATGATATTATAAGGTGGTTATTCCTCAAAATAAGAGAAAATATGTTGAGATAAAAAGAATACATCTCCAGATCTGACTCAGAGATGATGTGATCTTACAGAATGGCTTAAGGTTCACGTGAGCGACATGATGAGGGTGGCACTGGTATGGCACTGGGGAGGCATCTACACTGACACCGACGTCATCTGCCTGAAGGACATGAGTCATTTCAGCAACACGGTCGCTTTCCAAGCGCCTGGAATCCTTGCCAATGGCTTCTTCAAATTCCAGTCTCAACATAAAGTTCTAAAATCATACATGAAAGTGATGATAAAGAATTATAAGGTAAGAACTTAATTGGTACGACGAATAGGATCAAGACAACTCAGATCTGTTCATGAATAACTCAGTCTACTTTTGGGACAACAGGATCACTTTATTATTTCTGTTTAATGGACACCTTTTTATTTATTATTATTATTATTATTGTTATTATTATTATTATTATTATTATTATTATTATTATTATTATTATTATTATTATTATTATTATTATTATTATTATTATTATTATTATTATTATTATTATTATTATTATTATTATTATTATTATTATTATTATTATTATTATTATTATTATTATTATTATTATTATTATTATTATTATTATTATTATTATTATTATTATTATTATTATTATTATTATTATTATTATTATTAGTTGTATTAGTAGTAGTATTAGTAGTAGTAGGAGGCGGCGTGGGTGTGGTGGACTGTCCTTCCTGATCTAAAGTGTTATTGAAGGGGACATATTCGGAGTGTGGGAGCGGGAATTTCACAGTGTGTCGGTGAATATCGGATGTCGCCCTAAGCATTGTCACCGAAGGTTCTTCTCATCCCTTACGGCATTAAACGTAAATAGTCCGTGTGTTCACCGGCGATCACCGACAGAGTTGTGAGTGCTTGGCGGGACAGCTGGTGCAGGTACCAGGTGCCAGTGCCAGTGTCGATAGGCTCAGGCTCTCAACTGGCTTAGCCATGTTAATATTGTTATTATTATCCACTCTGTATCTGTGTTTTTCTGGCTAAATAAACTATTTCAATTTCAATTTACTTTGGCGGGGGTGGTATCGAGACTCTCGCCCCTATGGGCCAAGTGTTCTACGCTTGCAGTCGCCTCCCACAAGTAACGATCACTTCATGTAGTGACAGCCGACTAAGTGAGGAGTATATATAACTACTCTTACATCAGTGTGACCATAGAAATAGTGGTTATTTCTGCCAAGGATATGTAAACAAGTGTTAGGTGTGACAATTCTTGCTCCCAGTGTATCACTCTGATGTGTGGATTGTCGCCCTCAGAGGGCGGCCTACACACCCACGCGCGCACGCATGCCCCTACAACCCGGACACAGAAGTCCGGGTAGTAGGCCTGCCTCCTCATTCCCCTGGATAAGAATGCAAGATGTAGGCCTATAGGGGTGGGGGAAGTGCTTAGGTGGATCATCATCAAATGCATAATGGAGGTGGTAAAGGATGATGTCAGGGCAGCAGCAGGGAACCTGCAAGTTTGTGCTGGCTACCAGGCTGGGAGGGAAGATGCTACTCGCGCCATGAGAACGATATTTGAGCAGCGTGATTGTGAGGCCGTTCTCCTGGTGGACGTTTCAAACGCATTCAACATACTTAACCGCAAGGCCGCACTGCACAACATCAAGATCAAGTGTCCAAACCTTGCAGTGTATGTTGAAAACTCCTATAGGAATCCACCAGACCTCTATATACTAAACCACAAGTCTCTAAGAGGGGATACTATCATACAGTCAACCGAGGAAGCAACACAGGGGGACCCTGTTTCAATGGGAATGTATGCAATAGGCCTATCCGTGCTCCAACACACAATAAAATTTGAAACAACTGAGGTCAAGCAAGTGGCGTATGCTGACGACCTTACAGGAGCAGGAAAAGTGGAGGACATCAAAAGTGGCGGGACCTGGTAACATCACGAGGCCCACAAATAGGGTACCACCTAAACGCCAGCAAGTCTTTCCTCATTGTGAAGCCAGAACATTATGAACGGGCAATAGAGGTGTTCGGTGGAAGTGAGGTCAAAATAACAAAGGATGGCCAAAGACACCCAGGAGCAGTAATCGGCACGACGGACTTCAAGACCGAGTACGTAACGGGAAAGGTGAATGTGTGGGTTAGGGAAATCCAGCTCTGTCCGATATTGCTAACATAGAGCCACATGCGGCTTTTGCGGCATTCACCCATGGAGTCAAGCATCGCTGGAACTACCTGATGGGCACTATCCCTGATAACAGACCCCTCCTCCACCCTCTGGAAGAAGCTATCAGCGTCAATTTCATTCCCAAATTAGTGAAACACCTTCACTTAACCCCAGCAGAAAGATCACTCCTTGCACTACCACCGAGACTGGGAGGAATGGGATTGACCAATCCAGAGAAGATTGCTGCCACCGAACATCAAAACTCAGCTAAGCTCACGGCAGCCCTCACTGACCACATAATAGCTCAAAATGCAACAGGGGAGGTGGATACCAGTGAAGTAAACAAGATTCGAAGGTCCATTACGACAGAACGGCAGCACGGCCAAAGTGATAAGTTGCAGCAACTGACGCTGCAAGTACCAGAGAATTTGAAAAAAAAAGTAGCTATAGTGCAGGCGGTGGGCGCCTCGAACTGGTTAACTACGTTACCGATAAGGGCAAATGGTTTCAGTCTCAATAAACAAGAATTTACAGATGCCATTGCTCTAAGGTATGGTAGGTTAGTAGAAGGTTTGGCCTTCCATTGCGTGCGTGGCTCTTCCTATGATGTAGATCACGCCATGGTGTACAAGAAAGGGGGCTTCATATGCATGAGACATGACGAAGTAAGGGATCTCACAGCAAATATGTTGAAGGAAATCTGTCGTGATGTCAGGGTAGAACCGAACCTCCTTCCATTGGACGGTGAGAATTTCCAACATAGGACTTCAAACACATCCAACGAAGCCTGTGTTGACGTCAGTGCTCGAGGATTCTGGACGCGGGGACAGCGAGCCTTCTTCGACATCAGGATATTTGATCCCATGGCCGCATGTCACCGTACCTTAGCTCTCGATGCTGCACACAGGAGGAACGAGAACGACAAGATAAGGGCATATGGGGAGAGAATTCAGAACGTTGATCAAGGCAGCTTCACTCCTCTGGTGTTTGCAACCTCTGGTGGGATGGGACCAAGTGCAAGATGCTTCTACGCCAGACTCGCGGAGGTGCTATCCGAACCGAAGCAGCAGCCCAGATGTTGTGGATAAGATGTCGACTGTCGTTCTCTCTCCTTAGGTCTGCTTTGCTCTGCCTCAGGGGTACGAGAGTATCGGCCCCAAAACCGACAACAGTTGCAGATATTGACTATGAGGCAACAGTCACTGAATGCCGCATAGATCTGCGGCTCAACTAAGTCAACACAGCTAGGATAGCTACTTATGTATTAGGATATTTAATTTTAAGGTAATAAAATGGCGGCGAAGGTGTGGCTATTGGGAGAGGAAGGAGACCCCCCGAAAAAAAAATAGTCGTAATAGAAGTAGAATTTCAGACAACAGTTAACATAGCATAACCATTTGTCAACCTATTGACTAGTGAGAAGCTTGACACATACTTGCAGGTTAGGCGCCACTTTTAAGACCTATACTATTAGTTTTTATTGAAGCTCCTTAATATAGGTCTTGTGATGGTGTTGTTCCCTGCTTAATACTGTTACCTAACATGACGTCTCTTCACCTTCTCAAGTCAGGAACCAGAGAAACGGGAGAGCTGAGAGAAAGAAGAAGGGTCGAGAAGGGATAGGAAGGGTGAGAAAGGGTGAGGAAGGGAAGGGAAGGTTTAGAACAGGTAGGGAAAGGAGAGACAGAATGGGGAAGGGAGGAGAAGGGAGGGGAAGGCTGAGGACGGATGGGAAAAGGAGGTGAAGGGTGAGGAAGGATGGGGAAGGGTGGTGAAGGCTGAGGACGGGCAATGTAAGACATTATTTTGTACAATCAATATGTGTGTTACTGTGATTATTATTCTATAGTGAAACCTCTATTTAACGGACTATATGGGGTGAAGATTCCGTTATATCGGGGCCCGTTAGATGTGAAGCCTCCATGTAACGAAGTATATAAAGATGAATGTCCGTTATATCGGGGCCCGTTAGATGTGAAGCCTCCATGTAACGAAGTATATGTAATGAGACAAATCTCACATGAAGAAGATTACATATAGGTAGAATATTGATAGTATAAGAGTATAAAAGAGAGGAAGATTTTGGTAGCGTGGCCGTGATAGATATTTACACTCATCGGATCTTATACGTCAATACACATCTATTACGCCTTAAGGGCGACTTCTCAAACACCGCTTCGTTACAACTCTTTATTAATTACGAACATGACATGGACACATTAATGACACCTTCTATTGAAGTTACTAGGACAATATATTTACGTTACTAGGACATCATATTACGTTACTAGACACTCTGATTCTCGGACACGAACATGAAATGAATACACTTCCCACGTAAGTAACTCATCCCATGGAAAGCTCTGACAAAAACTCACGTGACCTAGGGGAGGCCTAGCAGGTGGTCCTGGGTGTCTCTATGGGAGACTGCTTAGCTGGGCGCCGGAGGGAAGTCTCGGTCCTGACCGGAGGCGACTGCCTCCGGTCCTCTCTGCCTCCTCTCGAGCGGGCCTGGTGGTGTAGTAGCTGGCCCTTCCTCCTTACAAGACACACTCTCTCTCTCTGTCTCTCTCTCGCTCTCTGTCTGCAGAGGGAGGACTAGCACGTCCTATATATTGGGAGGCGAGCCGTCAGGTTGAGCTGATTGGGGGGGCGGCGAAGGATCTCCTTACATTTGCCCTCGCTAATGTAGGGTCAGGTCTGGACTTTTTCAGAGACTATAAGTTGTATCTTCTGGAGAAGTCATCAGGTGGGGCCGTGTGTATATTGGGAGAGAGCCGGCCGGTGCCCCCTTACATGTGTGACATGGGAGGGGAGCCTGGCTGATATATAACCCTTGGTCAACCGTGAGAGTTACCCTACACTTGACCTCCCTAATGTCGGGTCAAGAGGACTGTTTCTGAGATGTAAGCTGTGGTCTGACAACCCATCACTACACCTCCCGCCAAGACCAAAGCTTTCATGCTCAGAGCACTGATGACACATTTTAAGTAGACAGTAACATCATGTGCAGTATCTAATATAGTCCCTGAGGCGATAATGCATCCTTACATTTTACAAATTATAACACTAGAGATGTATGTTTTTCTACTGGCATAGTTTGATCTGACAAAGC